AAGAGAAATCCTTCCTCAGGGGCTGGGCACAGCGCAGGGGTGGCATCTGGGGCTCCCCTGGTGCAGCCCCTGGTACAGAACCCCCTCCCTCCCTCCTTCCCTCCCCTCTGCAGTTCGACTTCACCTCGTACCAGGGCGTTCTCTTCGTGCTGCTCATGGTGCTGTTCCTGGGGGGGCTGGTCCTGGCTGTCATCCTGCCCTACCAATACGTGAGTGATAACCGCGCCAAACTGGGACAAACTGGGCCAAACTGGGCGTGCTGGGAGGGGGGGCCCAGCTCCCTGACAATGGGTGGGAACCCCCATGGAGGGGTGGGAGAGCAGGGCCATTCCCTGGGATGGACCGTGGGATTCAAGGATGGAGCTGGCCCAGGGCTGGGGATGTTTCCTGCTGGTTCTGGTGGTGGAATTGTGGAATGATATTGGTTGGAAGTGACCTCAAGAAGGGACACAGTGGGAGGTGTGGGGGTGAGATGGGATGGGCTTTAAGGTTGCTTCCCACCCAAACCATTCCAGGATCCCATGATTTCCACGGGACAGGTGCTGGGGCCAGAGCTGATGGAGAAGTTCAGGAGCTAAATGGACAGAAAGGGCTCAGGGAGGGAAGGTCCAAGTCCCCGTGTCCTGCTCTGTGCCACACAAACATTCCCAGGGCACTGCACAAGCTGGAGGTGCTGCAAACCCAGCCTGGGCTTTTGGGGCCTCTCCAAAACTTCACCCTCCAGCTGGGAGCCGACTGCCTGGGGAGGGAAGTCCTGCACAGCCCATTCTGTGCGGCTCTGATGGCTGTGTCCGTGTGTCCCTGTCCGTGTGTCCCTGCCTGTGTCCATGTGTCCATGTCTGTGTCCGTGTGTCCATGTCTGTCCATGTCCGTGTGTCCCTGCCTGTGTCCATGTCTGTCCATGTCTGTGTGTTCCTGTCTGCGTCCCTGTGTCTGTGTGTCCCTGTCCATGTCTGTGTGTCCCTGTCTGTGCCTGTGTCCCTGTCTGTGCCTGTGTCCCTGTGTCCGTGTGTCCATGTCCATGTGTCCATTTCCATGTGTCCCTGTCCATGTCCGTGTGTCCATGTGTCTGTGTCTCTGTGTCCATGTCCCTGTGTCCCTATGTCTGTGTATCCCTGTCCCTGTGTCTGTGTGTCCCTGTGTCCGTGTGTCCGTGTCCTGCAGGTCCCGTGGCTCCACGCGATCTACGCTCTGCTCGGAGCTGGGATCTTCACCATGGTGAGTGCCTGCTCCTGGGGCCCAGCAGGGAAAACAGCCGGGAAAGGAGCTGGGAAAACAGCAGGGAAAGGAGCTGGAACCTGGGGGGAAAGCAGCAGGAAAAGGAGCTGAGCCTGGCAGGGAAAACAGTGAGGAAAGGAGCTGGGAAAACAGTGGAGAAAGGAGCTGGAGCCTGGCAGGGAGCCGGAGCAGGGATGGAGCCGGGGCAGGGATGGAGCCTCACAGGGAACCAGGGAAAGGAGCTGGAGCCGGGGCAGGAGCCGGGGCAGGGATGGAGCCAGGGCAAGGTCTGAAGCCTCACAGGGAGCTGGGGCCGGGATTGCAGAGCTCGAGGTGGCCCTGGAGCAGCGATCCCGGCAGAAGGTGCCCCAGACGTGCTCATGCCCATGTCAGTGCCCGTGCCAGTGCCAGCGCAGGGCATGGTGCGAGTGCCAAGCTGTGAGGGGTGAGCAGTCCTGGCTGGATTGCTCTGCAGGGATCAGGGACAGGCCAGAGGTGCCTCTGGAGTGGAGCAGGCAGAGCTGAGCTCACAGAGCCCCCAGGAGTGAGGGGATGCAGGGATGAGGCTGCACGGTCAAGGTGGGGCCGGTCGGCTGAGAGCAAGCCAAGGTTCGGGATGAGTTTGGCTCACAGAGGTGCAGAAAACCAGGGAAGGCTGAGATTGGGGATTAGGAGGCATTAGGAGGGTTTACACAGGCAGGAAAAGCCCCGGAGCTGGGCAGCTCCTCCAAGGAAAGGCTTGGGCAGCTCCTCCAAGGAAAGGCTTGGGCAGCTCTCGGTGCTCCATCCCCAGAGCCCCTTCCTGAGCGAGTCCCGGTCCCTGTGCTGGGATCCAGCTGGGGCAGGTGCCACTGGTGCCCGCTGCTCCCGGGGCCAGGGCAGTGCATGGAGAGATGCCCGGTGCTCCTGGGATGGTGCCCGCAGAATGCCCGGTGCTCCCAGAGCTGGGGCAGTGCCTGTGGAGGTGCCCGGTGCTCCCGGTGCTCCCAGTGCTGCCGGTGCTGCCCTGGCTCCAAGGCGGTGCCCATTGGGCACGTTGGGAATGGCAGCAGTTGAGCAATTGTCTTTATCACCCATAAAAGTCACTCCGAGGGAGCGCGGGGAGCTCGGCGCTGATTCATGGCTCAAGATCCCTCTGTAAAATACAAGGAGGCTGCAACATCTGATAATTACCCCATAAACATCAGTCAGAGCCTGGGCCTGGCCCTGCCGGGGCAGCTGGGCTGGGATTTGTTCTGGGGGGATAAAAGAGCAGCTCTGGAAGATGGTGCAGCCCTGGAGAGCTTTGGGCCCGTGAGGGGCAGCAGGATGGCAGAAGGAGGAAAGGGAGGGAGGAGAAAATGGTGGATTTCAGTCACACCTGGGATTTCTGGCGGAGCTGCTCCGTATCCTGTTGGGGCCAGGCCACCCTGTGAGCACCTCGTTCCCTGGCTGGTGTTTCCCACCCGAGGGAAGTGTGGGAATAACAAGTTATGGGCTCTGGGATGAGGAGGAAGAGGGAGGGTGGCTCCAGAGCTGGCCCTGGGATGGAGGAGGCCTGAGGGAAGAGGGCCTGGACTGGGAGCTGCACTCGGGGTTTGATTGTCAGGGGGGAATGAGGGAAGGGGAAAGTTGCAGCTCATTCTGTGCCATGTTCTGAGCTCCTAAATTGTGGCTACAGAACATAAAAAGGACTGCACCCCAATCCAGGGGACTTCTCCTGTCGTCAGAGCCCTTCTTGCCTCCCTGGGCCAAACCTCCCTGTCACTGGCCCGGGGTTTCCTCCCTTCCCTTCCAGTTCCTGGCCCTGGACACGCAGATGCTGATGGGAAACCGCCGCTACTCGCTGAGCCCCGAGGAATACATCTTTGGAGCCCTCAACATCTACCTGGACATCATCTACATCTTCTCCTTCTTCCTGCAGTTCTTTGGCTCCAGCCAGGAGTGAGGGCAGCGGGGCAGGATGCTCCCCGTGCTGGCAGATGTGAGGGGTTAGATGGAAAAGCAGAGGTGAAAGGGTTCAAACCCGCCAGCCTGACCCAATCCCTCCCTTTCTGGTCCATCTGAGGGGCCCCAGACCCCTCCTGCAGCTTTGTACATTTGCTGCCAGGCCTTTGTGACCCAGAGAGCAAAGCAGGGCTTCAGTGTCGTGTCCCTTCTGCTCCCCCCAGTCCCGCCCAGCCCAGTCCAGAGGCTGGGGCAGAGACTGGGACCTTCCCAGCCCCAGGGGCTGCTGGAGGTGCCCTCTGAGTGCTGCCCATCACGGGGTGAGAGCTGTGACCAAACAGCAGAGAGGGCAGCAGAGACGGGAGTTTGGTGAGATCCTGGCAGGAAAAGCCTTGGGGAATCCTGGCATTGCCCTGTTCCCCACAATCCATTGGAGCTCGGTGGCCTCTGTGCTATTCCTGGTGACTCCTGCTGTTGGAAAGGTGGAGTGTGGGATCACGTAGCTGGATTTCAGTGCTCCAGGCACAGGGAACCTGTTTGTTCAGGACGTGCAGCTCTCTGAGGTCATCCCTGGTGCCACTGCAGGGAAAATTCCCCTGGATCCCTTGCATCTGNAAATTGCAAAAAATAATCTGTGGGGTCTGGTGGGAACTGGGGTGGGAGCAGGGATGGGAACTGGGATTGGAGCTGGGGGGAGAACTGGGATGGGAACTGGGGTGGGAATCAGGATGGGAACTGGGGTGGGAAGTGGGATTGGATCTGGGATGGGAACTGGGGGGAGAGCTGGGATGAGAACTGGGATGGGAACAGAGATGGGAACAGGGATGGGAACTCAGGTGGGAACTGAGATGGGAGCTGGAATGTGGGATGGGAGCAGGGATGTGGAAGGGAAGCTGGGATGGGAGCTGGCTCCTGTGTGGGAGGGATGCAGGAGCTCCTCCCGTGCCATTTGCCCTCCCTCTGCCCTCTCCTGTGCCCATCAGTCACTGGAGGGTTCCAAATGCTGCCCAGGCTCCTTCTCCTGAGAGCCTGGGAGGCTCCCCTGCCCCTTTCTCTGGGACTGAGGGATTTCCTGTGGGATTTCCTGGTGTCTGCTTGGGGCAGGGGGGCACTAACCGGTCTGTGTTCTCCCCCAGACCCTGTCCATGGCCTATCTCACTGCCATGCTCTCCAGGTGGGTTGGGCACTGCCCTGTGTCCTGTCTCTTCCTGAAAGCATTCCCTGTTCCTGAGCTCCCAGCAGCCACACAAAGCTGGAGCTTCCCTGTGAAACTTCCCAAGGAAGGTTCCCAAGGCTGTCCCTGTGCCAAGGGAGGCAGCACTGGGGGATCCCACATCCCAAATCCTGCAGGAGAGCCCCGGAGGGGCAGCACCTGGAGGGGCTGCAGGTGACCACTCAGAGATCCCCCATTTCTCACTGGGCAGGTCCCAGGCAAGGGGGACCAAGGGGTTTGTTCCAGCAGTTTCAGGAGTTTGTATCCCCCAGCCTGTTCCCTTCTGCTCATTCACACCAGGAAATCTGAAATGTGCTCCTAAGTCACGTGGGAGGCTGGAGAGAGTGCCATGATCCAGCCTGGGTGATGGATGGATGCATGGGGACAAAGAAATCCCTGGCCTCAGCAGCTGCAGGGGAAAACTCCACACAAATCCCCCAGGGAGAGCAGGGCTGGCTTTTCCAAGGGCTGAGCCTGGCACTGCAGCCAAAACCCTGATCCAGCCTGGAACCCATTCCTGAGCCTGCAGCCCCTGCCCCAGCCCCTCCTTCTCCTACAGCCACACTGGGCAGGGGCCCGGGGCTGCTCCTTTGCTTTCCCCTCATGCTGGGGGGACTTTTGTCACCCTGGTTTTGTCACCTCCCTTCCCCTTTCCCTGTCTGTCCATGGACAGTGGGATTGGTGGACTTGGAGCTGCTCTGGGAGGCCCAGATGAACCATCCATCCTTCCAAAAAGTAGAAAAACTGTGACAGTGTTCACAGGGTTCTTGGATTGGGGAAGAGATGAGGATCTGACTCCGTGTTTCAGAAGGCTTGATTTATTATTTTATGATATATATTACATTGAAACTATACTAAAAGAATAGAAGAAAAGGTTTTATCAGAAGGCTGGCTAAGAATAGGATAGGAAAGAATGATAACAAAGGTTTGTGGCTTGGGCTCTGTGTCCAAGCCAGCTGACTGTGATTGGCCATTAATTAGAAACAACCACATGAGACCAATCACAGATCCACCTGTTGCATTCCACAGCAGCAGATAATCAATGTTTACATTTTGTTCCTGAGGCCTCCCAGCTTCTCAGGAAGAAAAAAACTTCAGGAAAGGATTTTTCATAAAAGTTGTCTGCGACAGGAGGGGGCTGCTCTCCCTTCTGTCACAGGAGCCTTTGGATGAGGGAAGAGACGAGGATCTGACTCTGTATTTCAGAAGGCTTGATTTATTATTTTATGATATATATTACATTAAAACTATACTAAAAAAACAGAAGAAAAGGTTCTCTAAGAACAAGGAGCAGAAAGAATGATAACAAAGGTTTGTGGCTCAAACTCTCTGTCCGAGCCAGCTGACTGTGATTGGCCATTAATTAGAAACAACTACCATGAGACTAATTAAAGATCTACTTGTTGCATTCCACAGCAGCAGATAACCATTGTTTACATTTTGTTCCTGAGGCCTCTCAGCTTCTCAGGAGGGAAAATCTTAAGGAAAGGATTTTCCATAAAAGATGTCTGTGACAGAAAACCCATCCAAGCTTTTTTCCATCCCTCCTTTCCCAGCGTTAGTGTGGCATGTTGATAATTCCAGCGCTGTTTGTGCCTGTAGCGTTCCTTGCCCAGCTGAATCCCCTTTCCCATCCCTGGGAATGACCCCAGTTTGGTTTTCCCGGTCGTTTTGCAGCTACTACAACACCAAGTCGGTGCTGCTGTGCCTGGGGATCACGGCCCTGGTCTGTCTGTCTGTCACCATCTTCAGCTTCCAGAGCAAGGTGGGGACATCCCTGGGGAGGGGACCTGGGCAGGACAGGGGGAGCTGGGGGCGTCTGGGAATGGGGCAGCCCCAGGGATGTGGGGATGGCGCCAGGACACGTGCTGGGGAGGGACGTGAGTGGGATGAAAGTGGGGCTAGAAAATGGGGATGTATGGGAATAAAATGAGATTTTTTATGTAGATTGGGGTGGGGGTAGAAGTGTCTGATTTATGGGAATAAAATGGGATTTTTTTTGTGGATTGGGGAGGGGCTTGAAGATGCAGATAAATGGGAATAAAATGAGAGATTTTTTTGTGGATTGGGAT